GACTCACACACAGGCAGATACAGACAGAGAGAGGGACTCACACACAGGCAGATACAGACAGAGACATTCATATGCAGACAGCTGGACTCACGCAGACAGGAGTTGCTGGTGAACATGCGGAGGACTCTCTCACAGTCCTGCCACTGGTTCCCACTGCCCTCACAGGTACACCACTGGGACACCACGTCACTGCTGTTACTGATGTAGTTGGGGGTCATGATCGTGCCTGAGAGAGGAGAGAGATAGAGACATAGGGAGAGAGGAAGAGAAGGAGTCAGGAGGTGTTAACTCTGATCAGTCAGGCTCAGGGATCAGTGCGCCAGCCAGCTGCCCCAGTCCGTGGCCCGCAGCTCCTCAGCTCCTCCCCTGCGCTGCCTGTTTGAAGTCTTGCTCGGCTGCAGGCCCTTTCTGTCAGACCAATATCCACAGCGGAGCAGAGCTCCCTGTGTGTCAGGACACCTGCCTGGAGCCCCCACTCACAGCTGGTGGAGCCATGATCTCAGCGTTTCTCCACCGAGCCTCTAAGATCACTTTATTGGCCATATACAATTTCTTGTACTAGGAATTTGTCTTTTTGCATACCCCAGCTTGCTCTCCATGAGACAGGGAGAGAAGCTGGGGGTCAGAGCGCAGGATCAGTCATTTATACAGCGCCCCTGGTGCAGTTGGGGTTAAGGGCTTTGCTCAGGGGCCCAAGGGAGTAGGATTCCTGTGCAGGCCGCAGGGTACGAACCAACAACCTTCCAGCCACAGGCGGAGATCCTGAGCCACAGAGCCACCCTGCCCACTCTTCACCTCTCTCCTTCACAACCTCTCACCCTTCCTCTCCCTTTCCCCAATCCTCACCCCAATCCTCACCCTCTCTCCCCAATCCTCACCCCCTCTCCCTCTCCTGCTCCCCAATCCTCACCCTCTCTCCCGAATCCTCACCCCAATCCTCAGCCTCTCTCCCCAATCTCCAGCCCCTCTCTCACCCTGCTTTCCCCTTTCCGAAACTACATGCCCCTCCCCTCCTCACCTATCAGGCCGATGTAGGACCGGAGACAGGCAGCTCCACTCTCTCTGACACAGCCAGAGGCGGACAGGGCCGACGGCTGACAGTGGCGCTGGAAATCTGCCAGTCTGGCCCTACAACACACACAGAAACTGTGAGTCCTCAGGGAAGAGTCTAGAGCCTGTGACTGGGACTGACTGGGTCAGTGTACTGGACTCCACAGGGACTGGAAGAGTCTAGAGCCTGTGACTGGGCTGTGTCAGTGTACTGGACTCCACAG